ATCCGGCCAAGGGCCCATTTACTCCGGCTCTCTGTCTCTCCCGGTGGCCCTACCAAGGGCCTCTGGGAAACTACGAGAGACCTGTCTCCTAATACCCCTCCCCTGCACCTGGCCTTTGAAGGTCCCTTCCTTCTAAGCCTGGAGATTGTGCATCCCCATCATGGCTTGTCAACTGTTATGGACTTTTCCATCAGTTAGGGTTGATGAGAGATGTTATCAAAAACAACTGCAGGGCTACGGTTTCCCAGCCTTGCTCTAACCACATCACTGCACAGATTGGCAAAATCCAGCACTTTTTTCTCTTGCTTACTTGTGTTTTTGTTTTCCAGTTGCTCTCCTTCCCTGTGTGTGTTTGTTCGTTTGTTCTTTAAGATTGTAAACTGTCTGGCATAGAGAGCTGTCATATGTATTCTTTGTAAAGAACCATAAATTAGTAATAACGATGATAAATAATGCACTGCCTCCTTCAGCAGGAAGCAATAAAATGGGCAGGACCTGCCAATAGGAATTACGAAGTGCTCAAGAGCCCCAGTGCCTCAATATGGCTTGACTAAATTGGCTACAACCATTGCAGCATTTGGCTATCAACTGAGTCTTTGAAACATTTTTTTCATATTTTTTTTTAAATGGGACCACAGCACTTTGACAATTAAATCTGGCTTCTTCGGCAACACACAAGAAACCAATTTGAGGGGGAAGGACAAGGGCAGACATGATCTAAATCTTCCTTCAATGGTGTGTGGGCACCCAGTGATGGCCAAGGGCTTTGCTAGCACAGAGCAAAAATATGCATGGCGATGCTAATGCCTTGGCACTCAATTGTTGAAGCGATTCAGTTGAAATGTTAAAAGGGATTTCTAAACCTCGCCCATGTACAAGCAGTTAATTATGTTTTGAAATTACTAACAACTAGCGAGTAATAAATCAGAGCAACAAATAAATGTTAATTGTTGCTCCAAAAAGAAAAAGAAAATAAAGGGAAGGGGAAAAAAAACCATGGACATTTAACAGTTAAAATAACAAATTTTAAAATTTTGACGGAAAGGATTAAAGCAATGAATTAATTTTGAATAAAATATTTCCAAGTTATGTGCTAGTCCATGTTTGACTGTAGGTTAGAGCAGCAAACTCTCTCTCTCTCTGGAGGGGCATCAAGTTTTCATCTGAGGAACTTGTGAATAATGAATGGAGCCCCGCGCAGGGGGAAGGCCTGCTCCCATGGTAACGAAACCTGACTTTGCATCAACGTCTCTGTGGGAGTTTGGAGTTTCGGGTGAATCCTAAGAGTACACTGGATGGTCCATACACAGTGTCAGATGAGTACTCTCTTTTTGTGCCAGTTCAGGGCTGTGACCATTATGCTTCGTTGTCTTGAGTTAATTAAAATTGCCATCCCTTTGCCTCATGTAATCTAAAGCAGCATCATAATAGCACTGTAAAACAAAAGATCTTGTAGTTAAGGCTCTCACGTTGCAAAATAATACTTTAGTTTTGCAGTAACAGCCTATTTAATACCACTGTTCACAGATGCCTGGCCCACAACAAGGAACAAAAATCACCTTTCATTTGTATTTCCAACCTCACAAGGCGGGACGGGGGAGTCTTATAAGTCATCTAGTCCAACCTGCTGCTTGAGGTAGAAAATCTAGAGCAAGAGGACTCCCAACATACAGTGGACCCTCGACTTACAGACGGCTCAACTTACAGACTTTTTGAGTTGCAGACTTCTCTGGCTGCAAAATTTAGATTCGACCTGCAGCCGGAGAATCGACCTACAGACCAGAAAAAAACCAACATGGAACAAAGGACTCCCAGCATATGGCCAACTCGCCTCTGCTTGAAGACCGCACTTTAGGGATTGCTCGCCATCCTTCTAGGTTTCCTCTCTGCCATTCAACTGTGTTTATTACCCTGTTTCCCTGAAAATAAGACCAAATCTGAAAATAAGACTCACCTCTGCTTGAAGACCACACTTTAGGGATTGCGCGCCATCCTTCTAGGTTTCCTCTCTGCCATTCAACTGTGTTTATTACCCTGTTTCTCTGAAAATAAGACCAAATCTGAAAATAAGCCCTAGTATGATTTTTTTCAGGATGCTCATAATATAAGCCCTACCCCCAAAATAAGCCCCGGTTAAGTGAAACCCTGCCTTCCACCACTGTGCAGCAACCAGAAGAAGAGGACGTGACTGTATTCGAATAAAAACAGATTATACATGAAAAAAAAAAAACCATCCCCTGAAAATAAGCCCTAGTATGATTTTTTTCAGGATGCTCATAATATAAGCCCTACCCCCAAAATAAGTGAAACCCTCCCTTCCACCACTGTGCAGCAACTAGAAGAAGAAGATGTGATTGTATTTGAATAAAAGTAGATTATACATGAAAAACATCCCCTGAAAATAAGCCCTAGTGCGTTTTTTTGGAGCAAAAATTAATATAAAACCCTGTCTTATTTTCAGGGAAACAGGGTATTAAGAGAGTCCTCCAGTGGTCAGCCAGAACTAGACTTCCAATTAGGCAGAACAAGGCAACTGCCTATAATGAAAATACTGAGAGAGGCATGACAGTGAGAGCCTCCTGGGTGGTCCCCATGATCTCTCCAGTGTCTCCTTCTGTTGGAGAAAAGAGCTGTGAACATCACATAACCAGTCCTGGGTCTCCACTGCCTCAAGGTGTAGTGGAGAATGCTCTCCCATTGCCAGTGTATAAGTTGGGTTCAGCTGCCAGCGGTGTGCTACTGTGTCTTTTGCATTAGGCAGCAATATGTTTTGGGATGGCTCTGGGTTCAGCTGAGACCCACCTTCTGGTAACTTAAGCACAGCAGACCCAGTCCTTGTCCTCTTCTGCGTGACAGACAGCCCTTCAGAAGTAGTTGGGTAGTCGTGTTGCATCCTTCTTTAGCTATTTTTTTCCATTAAGCAACCAAGCATATGTCTTTCCTTTCACCACTTCTCACAGGTCTCATTTGGTCTACCCTTTATTCTTTTCATTAGCCTGTCTTGATTCTCCTCTAAAGATGTTCAAAACCTCCTAAATCTTTCAAAGATACACTTGGTAGAAGCAGGCAGTCTGACAAATCGTATTTTCCTAAGTCAGCATTACCCAGATTTCAGCCAAAATTGTTCACAGACTAGTGAATAATAAAATGTAATTCCCATGGGGTGGAAATACAATTATGTATGTTATCTTAAGCTCTGACGTCCTGTATAAAACTAGAATTCTAGAAGAATCTCTTGCTTAGCCCGTCAAAGAAATGACTGATCCATTTAAGTAAAGAAAATGCTACCCACAACAGCAAATTCATCCCCATTTGATAACTATTATTCCAGACAAAAAGGCAATTTGAATCCACATTCCAAGGGACTAACAAAAATATTTTTTCCAAAAATATTATTTGACTTGGAACAAGCAGGACAAATCTTAATTTTCAGAATTATGCTAGGATTTCTTCAAATACAGGGGGGGGATCACCATCATAATGCCACTTTTAGTCCCAAATATCTAGCCCTCCCCCCCCCCCAATTTTTTGATCGAAATGTCATGAAACAATGATCTAGTCTATATTCTTTAAATCTGGAGACATTATGTCAGGCTTCTCCAACCTGATGCTCCTTAGATAGTTGGGATTAAAAGTCCTAAAAGGCCTCACTGTTGTAGTCAAAACATTCAGAGCACTTCACCAGGCTAAGGGAAACTTTATTTATAAGAGAATACTTTTGTCTAAAATCTTTAGACTAAAAACTGAGGGTCGTTGTTATACACAGAAGTAAGGAGGGCGAAAAGGGATCAAAAGGGAAAGCTGTAGGATTGCAGATCGCTTTGATTCCTGCTTTTTCCTTTTTTGCTAAGCCCCACGGGGCTTAGCAAGAAAGGAGAAACCAGGGATCAAAGTAATTGTGCATCACTTTGATCCCTGCTTTCCACCTTCACTTGCTGAGCCTGCTTAGCAAGTGGAGGGGGAAAGAGGAATCAAAGCACTGCATGATTGTTTGATCCCTCTTTCCCCTTCCACTTTCTTGCCAAGAAAGTAGAGGCAAGAAAGTGGAATAGGAAGGCAGGGATCAAAGCACTTTGATCCCTGCTTTCCCCCTCCACTTTGTTGCCAAGAAAGTGGAGGGTTAAGGCAGGGATCAAAGCAATCGTGCGACACTTTGATCCCTGCTTCCCTCCTCCATTTGTTCTGCCCACTTAGCAAGTGGAGGGGGGAAGCAGGGATCAAAATACCCCATGATCGCTTTGATCTCTGCTTTCCCCCTCCACTTGCTAAGCCCCACTTAGATTTCTTAATTTTGGGTTAAAAATTCTTATACATGAGCGCATCTTATACACAAAAAAATACGGTAAGTGACGCAGTGCTGTTTTTCAGAGAATATTTATCTGGACTGAGTCCAGACTCAAGCCTATCTAACTTGCTGGCTGTTGGCTGCCTGACTGGGAGTCATTAGGTTCGCAATTAACCACAGCGGATAGCAGGAGCTTGGGAAAAGTTTTGCCTTGCTCCACTTGTTCTGCTTTCCTGCAATCAGTACTGCAGTCATTGTGTGAGACTGCCGCTACCACCACCACCACCAAAACACCCAAGAGGGTTTGCTACCTGATGAAGAAGACAATACCGGTGTCATCATAGCCTCTTCCATCATAATTGAGGCAGCAGGTGAATTTAGGGGGCTCTGTCCTCCAACAGACTGGAAAAGCCATGTGCTTAGGAAGACATGCTGTACCTTTAACATAGTGCAGTTTCCCCACACTTCCTTCCAGTAGGGCCAGCCCTGAAATGGACCCATCACCTGTCCTGGTTCAAGACATCCTCCAATGTTTCTATTATAAAATAATGCATCATCTGTCAATTGTGGCTTGTGCCTCATCTGTAGTCGTGCATTTCTTCTGAGACAACAAAATAATGCATCTTCTTCTGTCAATTGTGGCTTGTGCCTCACCTGTAGTCCTGCATTTCTTCTGAGACACAAGCTCAGCCGTGTCAGGAAAGGTGGAGGTTAGGACCCAGTGGCCTTGTCTGTCTCCTGTTCAGCTGGGTCACTCCAGCTGTTTAGACCTTGGTGTTGTGTTTCACTCGGTTGGAGGTCTTGTGTGAGACATGTATCGAGCCTACCAGCCTCTCCGACCAGCAACCAGCAAATACCTGCAGGAGAAATGGGACAGGGCCAGCTATCAGAAGCATCGCAGAAAGGTACCAGGCAACCTATAAAAAGGGTAACTTTGGGCTCCTTGTTGCAGAAAACTGATAAACTCCAAAGTAAGGTACAGTATAGGAAATGGGACTCAGGCAGGCAAACTTTTCAGTCCAGGATCCATCAGAACACTAAATACACACAGGAAGAACTGCTGGTAAAATGAATAATGTATGCTTCTTACAACTGTTATCTCGCTGAGCTGAAGAAACCGAAGTTGATTTATCATGTGAATTTTGGTCAACTGGTTACTGGATGAATCCATGAAGCTGCCTGAAACCTACCTGAAACCTCATGTACACAAAACAAGGTTTTCAAGTGGCAATGAGTGCTTTCTTTGTTTTTAGGCGATATGCTGTGCATTTCCACTTCTGTCTCAGGCAGGAAGGGATGATTCTTTTAAAAAGGTGGCCATCATCAGTAGTTTTTAAAAAATAAATGCTTATTTTAAAACTTTTGAAAGAGTGTAAGCTTTGTTTATGAATTTATTAAGGAAATCTTTAATTGATTACAAATGTTAACAATGAAATTCTGTACATGTATACTCAGACAATATTCCCACTGGGCTTAATCCCAGGTACACAAGTGAAGAATTACAGCTTGAACGGTTGCAGCTCAAAGCTCTAGGGCTTTACAGTTGAATTGCTTGCACAACAGGTGTAATGTCCCATAATGTGTAAATTTAATACTTATGGAACTTACACAGGAAGGAATTCAGGACATCCTTGCATAGACATATGTTGTGTTGTGTACCCACAACAGAGATCTCTGGTGAGAAAGACTTAAGCAATCAGGAGATCCTGTGTAACTATGGAACCAGCTACAGTATACAGTAACTGAAGAGAGGTAGGATGTTGATCTTGGTCCCAGAGCATTATCCTAACACTGCTCCAGAATGGATGGCTTCATTATTTTTGTCCTGCTTTGGAGTAATTTGTCCAGTTCTGCATGAACTTCTACCCTCCTTTTGGTTGAGCTTAATAAAGCTTTTAGGTGTCTGCTCAGGTTCAGAAAACATCTGCACCTGCTCAGCTCCAACATGATGCATCTGGTGCTCCCAGATCGTACATGAGCTCTGGCACTTTTGCTTGCTGGTAGACTCCCTTGTGGGGATCCTTTAAGCTTCATTGCCCCTTTTGTTGCCATCTTCCATTGTCATAAGATCCTGCATTAGCCACAGTTGTCATATGCCTCTAACCCTAACCCATAGCTGCTTTACTGGATAATTTCCAGGATGAGTCATGCTGGGTTTTATTGCATATCTGTGTGGGTAGTGCCGGAGCATGATTCATGCTGGTGATGCGTAAAGATATATCTGCTTGTTAGAAGAAGCGAGTGTGTTGTGAAGGTCCTTTGTAATTGATCATGTGCCACCAAGTTAATCCTGATTAACAGAGACCCTCCAATGCTTTTCTAGGTTCAAAGTACTCTGCACCAATTTCCCAGTCTTCCCTTCTTACGGCATTCTGGGAGGATGACTTTTGCCCAGATTTCAACAAGTAGCAGGAGGCATAAACCCATCAGTTACATATGCTCTAGCTGTTCACAGCTGGCCCTTCGCCCAGAAGGCACAGGGGAATTCAAACTCCTGGCCTCTAACTCTGCAAGCAAGTTTTCCATCAATACCAATTCCCTCTGTAAATACGCAGGGATGAATGTTATGGGCCCCATCCATTACATGCATTAGGGCCTAGGTTCTTCACTTGTGGTCTGCAGACCCCCAGGCAGCTGTGATGTCCTCACAAAGGGGTCTGCAGCTCCCACCAACCTAGTGGTTCGAAAGCATGCAAAATGGGAGTAGCTAAACAGGTACCACCATGATGGGAAGATAATGGCGTTCCGTATCTAGACGCGCTGGCGACGTGACCACAGAAGATTGTCTTCGGGCAAACGCTAGCTCTATGGGTTGGAAATGGAGATGAGCACAACCCCCTAGAGTCGGACATGACTGGACAAATTGTCAAGGGGAACCTTTGCCTAAGATCTCATCTAGTGGATTCATTTATATGAAAAGTGAATTCAGCTAAATTTTATTAGCTTTATGATAGCAAGAGTGATTATGGGAGAAACTAACTCATATTCACCTTCATTAGAGATGTTGAAACAGAGGGCTAGATGACCAGGGGTGCTTTAGGTGTACACTTCCTGTGTTTGACTTGTGACGTATGGAGTCCATTCCAGCAAAACAGCCCTGTGATTCTATGACAGTCCAAACCAGATAAGACAACAGCCTGAATACATAGTGGTTTGCATGTGCCTGGTTCTGAGTCGGAGCTAGTGTCACTGTAGATGCTGGTATCTTACTGAAAGAAAAAGGAAGGAAGGAAGGAAGGA